TTTTAATCTTCACAAAACATGGGCTTTATATAACAAAGACATAAAATTTAATGAAATAATTTTGCAATATGTTCATTTAAATCAAAAGCACTTTTATTTTAATGTTGTCAAATAATTAATTTGTGTGTTCAGTATACATTAAAATCGGATTAAAATAAAAAAAAATTAGTCGTTATTGTTGTTTTTATTATACGAGTGAAACCAAATAACAACTATATTTTCAATTTTAATTGAATTTTAAGTATGACCGAACACGATCAATGTTCATAGCAATATTTTTATTTACAATCAAATAATAATGAGCTTTTTGATTATAACTTTTTATAAAACTTCTGATTGATTAAGATTAAAATTAGAGTTTTAATAAATTAAGTTGATGAAATGTATAATTGAAAAGTTATGAGTTTTATAAAGTATATCATTAAAATTAATTATTAATTGAAATTTAAATTTAAATCTTGCCAACAATAATCAATGCATCCTTATATTTAGCTCATGTTTGGCTCCCATTTTGGAGTGTTGAAAATTTTTGGAATAGTGATTGATGAGAGAATGTGTGGTAGAAAAGTAATGAAAAGTTTTAGATTTGTATGTAATATTATTTTATTTGATAAATATGTGGTTGAAATGAAGAGAGAGAAAATTAATATAATGGAAAAAAAAAAAGGGTGTTTGGTCGTTATAAAATAAAAAATTACCAAAGTACAAATTGCAGCAATGCTTCCCTCTGCCAGGTGGCAAACTTTGAGTGGTAATTTCTCTTTCTGTCTTCACAAACACAGTCCTCTCCAGAAACGTCCCTTAGAAGCCGGCCGTCGAATCCTCGACCACCGAGCCACAAAACTGGCGGCGCCACCGATACTCTGCCATCCTTCGCCGTAGTTCGAAATTCTCTCTACTTTCTCCCTCTAAAATTCTAATTCCTGCATTTTTTCCCCTTGCAAAAGAAGATAACAGTAAAAAAAAAAAAGCACAATGCACCTTCATATCTTACCCGAAAAAGCCCAAAATTTCAAGTCAAATGCTTCTGAAATTCTACTTGTGAAGTAAAGTTGAAGAGTTTTAACTTTTTCTGTAAGTGAATTATTGAATTTGATCGATTAATATAATGTCTGGGCCGAGGCGGGCGAAGTCTATGGATTTTTCTCAGTCCAAGGTGCGGCCAGTGCTTGGGCCGGCCGGAAACAAAGCTAGATCCGTGGAATTGAGGAAGCCCATCGGAAAAATCAACAGTGAAAAGGTTCAGAAATCACAAGACATTGACGACAACGAGAAGAAGACACCGGCAACGATGCAGTCTCCAGTGACTCTGACAGATCATTTGGCGTTGAAGTTGGATTCAAAGTGGGTCAATGGTCGTGCCGCTTCGATTCTGAGGCAGCAGAAGCCTGATTTGTCACTGACTGCTTCGTGTTCCTCTGATGCTTCCACTGATTCTTCACATAGCCCATCTACTGGGAGGATTAGCCGGAGGAGGGTGACACTGACACCGACAATGAAGAGGAAGCAGCAATGCAGCCCAAAAGCGTGGAATGCTCAGATGAGTTTCGATGGTGAGAGCGAGGATATGGATCTGGCTAAGAAAAGGTGTGCTTGGGTGACTTCGAATACTGGTATGCCTTTTATATGCTGTTTCAACTTCCAGAGCTTATTGTAGGAGCTGCGAATCTTAAACTTTATATGTTTATATGAATGATACCATTTGTATTTATTCATGCATATAAACTTGTGTGGTCCAAGCTGTAAGTACTGCGTGATAAATGGTTATCCTTCTGATGATCTTTCCGAGGATAGAATAATGGAGAAATTATAACTGCAATAGTAAATCCATCCTTTCATGAGAATAATGGTCTATTTTGCACAGTTGTCCATGTTGTATGTTTTTCTTGATTCATGTGTGTATTGATTTGTTGAACTTGAAGCCATTGGGTTTGATTTTTCAATGTCTATTCCCATTCTTGAAAGAAAGGAGAAGGTAGAGAAATAATGGTGGTTTCTGTAAAAACTTTAGTATAGAAATCAATCACACTAGTCCCTAAACCATAATTGTTGAACCGTAAATCTAAAAATGTTAAATAAAGTTCTACAACTACAAATTTAACTTGATATGGTTATACCCAATAAATTTGGGATTCCATGAATGTTTGGCAATTTTTGGTTCATCATTAAAATTGAGACGAATGATTCACTCTTGAGCCATTGATGCCCATAATCAAACTTGCTTATTTCAATACAGTTGTTCCAGTTTTGCTTGTTTCTATTTTCAGTGTTAATGTGAACAATTCCTTTCTATCGAGTCAATAACTTATTTATGGGAATCTTTGTAAAGATAGTATTAAATTTACTTTTCAAATTAGATGCTTATTTTAAGAAACATGAGTTAAGGTATGATTTAATAATTTTTCTTGTTTTTTCCTACTTAAATTAGGATTAGTATAAACCTTGTATAAAGGGCTTATGCCTTGTAATAGACACAACTTTGATATTAAATAAATTGTTAATCTTGTCCTAAATTATGGCCCTCTTCTCTCTTTCTTCTCTTTCTCGTCACTCTTCCTATTTCTTTCTCAATCTTGTTCTTGTTCGTTTCATCGTACGCCAATTTGGTTTCAAAACAAGTCATTTTTCTTTGGCCAAACAAATTTCGTGAAGTTTCAATTGGTATTTAAAAATTATAAAAATTCACAACTAATTGTCCCACTGCCATCCTCTACTCCCATCACAACATTACCCATTAAGATCTACAACCCTTAGAGGAAAGCAACATCTTATAGTAACTTAAGAGAATTCAATTGAATCAGCTTGAAGAAGATGACTTGGATACCATTTGGCTCTTCTAAGTCTCTTAAGGTACAATATTTTTTTTTTTTTGGAAACATGCTTTTCTTTGGAAGAAATCATTTCGCGGTAGTTTTTGTGAATTAGTTGCACATATCGTTACTTCTCTGAATTCCTTATGGTTACTTGGTTAGAAGAAAAGGTCGTCTCTTTGGTCATATTAGATAATTGGGAATGATTTTCAAATTTGGTTGTCGATATATGGTCGGTATCATTTTTTGGCTAGGAAAAATCCTTGGTTAAGAAGTTACAATCTATATTATCGGAGTTGAGTTCTCTTAGCTAAAGAGAACTGATGGGAATATTAGTAGAGATAATCTTTTGAAATTAGACGCTTATTTTAAGAAACATGATTAGGGTTTGATTTAAGATTTTATTGTATTTTTCTACTTCAATTAGGACTAGTTTAAACTCTATATAAA